TATTCATACACTATTTTTCAAATGATAAAAATGAAAGATGTAGCAGGGGATTATTTCATGGTGTAACTCACATACATTAAGATGTAACTCGTGTATATTAAGATGTAACTCGCGTACAATAAGATGTAACTCGCGCAGAAGAAGATGTAACTTCATGATATATTATCAAATGTAACTTCAAAATAATTTGTTAAAATTACATAAGCAATATTGGTCTCATTTGATAGATAATGAAAAATAAAAAAAATTTGATATAAAATTTATAAAAACCGGATATCAAATAAAAAAGTTATTACAATTTTTAACAATAAAACAAAAAAAAAATAGTGAATGTTGCGTCGTTTTGGGATCAGGCGCACCATCCTCATGATGCGCCGATCCCAGGGTATAAATTGCGCTTGTTGAATAATTAAATGCTATTTGTAGTATTTATTTTATAGATTGATTGTACGTTTGAATAATCACGTGCCATATATAATTGTACTACGTATTTGTTTAGCTAGTAATATATTAATGTGACTCTTTAAACATGATTGTTTGAATGTTGAAATTACGACATGCATAAATCCTTTTTTTATTGTTGTTTCCTTTTATACTTTTCCCGTTTAATAAATTATTTTTTTATGCACTAACTAGGTTTGATCGATTATATATGGAATACTTTCAGACTTAGTAACATATTTATTAGCACATCTTTCCTTAATTTCTTTTATGTGTTTTACTATTTACGCACCACTACCACCCATTAAATGTAAAGATTTTTGGGCAACTTTATTTGTTAAACTCTATTACATACTTTCCTAAATTATGAACTTCAATATCGTATATTTTATGATTTACGGTATTTATGGAATCAACTAAAATACACTCCATCATGATTACACGTCAACATACATATCAAAATATTGGCAGCTATATTTTTTTTTTCTCTTCTTCATATATGTTTTGGATGTATATACATGTAAGCCATTTTTTATATACACGTAATTGCATTAAGATGATCGTTATTAAGTTATCGTATTTTTTTAAACCTTTAGTATCCGTATGTATAATATCTCACCTACAAAATAAAATCATTTTGTATTACATTCGTTTTTAGCTCCATTTTTGATAATTAAAATATATAACAATTTTTTTCAATCATTTGAAAATATATATAATTTTAAAAGAATTGTTAGATTCATTTTTTTTTCTCAAATTTTTTTATGCCTAATCCATTCTTTGGACCAATATTAATACTTCCTATCTTAAACACACCATATAGCACCCCATAAAAATCTCTATGATTTTTAATGAGATGAATACATATCTCCTCTCTTCGATGCATTATAAAATATTGTCTACGAAGAGACATACCCCACGTCATTTTTTTATGTGATAAAGAATTTTCACACAAAGAAATTCATACAAAGAATTTATGTGATTTATTTATTTATTTATTCATTAATTTATTTATTTATTTATTTATTTATTTATTTATTTATTTATTTATTTATTTATTTATTTATTTATTTATTTACTTACTCATATTTATTTGTTCGTTCGTTTGTTTGTTTCTTATCATACTCCGTATTATACAGAGGAAATTACTCAGGGTAGGACTAAAACATAACATTCTTCTTATAGTATGAACATATGTTTGACTTTCCTTAAATAGGACTAAATATTACATATTCACACCTAATTTAATTAATTAATTAATATTATTAATTGTCCCTAGTTCCCTTGCATAACCAAATCGAATTTGTTGGTGGCAGATCAGTCCAATGATGACAACGGGGAACTTCGGTGATGGAGGCGGATGGACAGATCGGTAGCGGCGAGCTAGGTGAAAATTTCGACGACCAGCAGTGGTGGTCTGCATTTAAAAATCTATGAACTTTTTGAAAGTCAATAAACTTATCAATGGATTTAAAAGTCCATAGAATTCATTCATAAAAAAATCTATGGATTTAAAAGTCTATTGACTTTTTTAAAAGTCCATGGATTAAAAAAAGTCCACCACAATCCATATTCAATACACCCCCCTTAATGTCTTATTTGAGACTTCGCCCTCTAAATTATGTTTTCACAGCACATATATTTTTCTTTATTTTACTAATAAAATATGTTTTAAAATTCAGTAAATTCAATTTAATTAAGCAAAAAATGCAGAATTTCATCAATTTCAAAAAAATCTTCCAATTTCACTAATTTAAATATTAAACGAGTCCAATGTGTTGTATGAAAATGTAAATGGGGATTTATTTCTCCGGGCAAACTATGTTATACGTAGTACATAGTGAGATTAAAACATATGTACAATATACTGAGAAAGTAAAGATAACTCCATATTCACTATCCATGTTATAAAGGGAATATTATGATCTTATAAAAGGAATTTTATAATGCACATAGATATGTATTCTTGAGTAAAGATATAGACAACCAACATTATTTTTGAGCTGTTAAAATAAGATCTAATCGGTTCAAATAACAATTACTTCGTATTAAAAATTTTTATATTCAGCCCCATATAAGGATTGACTCGGGCGGGGTTAACCGGCCCGTAACCCGTCCAGCTCGGTACTGTTACGGCCCAGTACCCGGGTATGTGCCCGATTCGGGCCAACCGGCTCGATACTGTTGAGGGGAGGTTCTCGGGCCTCCCAAATCGTGAACCGGCCAGCCGTTTCGGTTCTGGTCCGGGCCTAAACGGCCATAATTTAAAAGAAAAAATTAAACCCAAATAATTAGCTACTTAGCTCCTCCTAGCCGTTGGAGGGATGGGAGGGGGTCGGGGGTAAAAAAAACTATAAATACTCCTATTTTCTAAATAATTTTCTACATATCTCCTCCAACTCTTCGTACTCTCTATTCTCTATTCTCTAAGGCCTTGTTTGGTTCAAAGGAGGTGAGGGAAGGGGAAGAAGGTTTTTGATAAAAAATTGTGTTTGGTTGGAGGAAATAGGAGGAAAATTTAATGAAAATATTTTCGCAATTTACCTTTAGCTTACTTAAAAAAATAGATACATGTCTAACTATTGTTAATATTACTCCTATGGTCATGAGTCATAATTTTTTTTTTGATTTCAAGTTTTTAAATTTTATATTTTTTTTTAGTTTTTTTTAAATTATAAATTTTAAAATTTAAAATTTTATAATTTTAAATTTTTAATTTTTGAATTTTTTAATCTTTAAATTTTTTAAAGATTCAAAAGTTTTTATTTTTTACCTTTGTATATTATAATGTTTTGTCCATTCACGTAGGGGTGGACTCGGGCCGGGCCAACCGGCCCGGAACCGGACCGGCCCGCTACTGTGCGGGCCCGGCCCGGCCCGGTGAACCGGTTCCGGGCCCGGTTCGGGCCAACTGGCCCGGTGGGATGGCGGTTCGGGCTCGGGCCCTTCAAAAGGTGAACTGGCCCGGCCGGTTCGGGCCCAGGCCGGGCCATTTTTTTTTGAATTTTTTTAAGTTTTTGGGTTGGGTTGGGTATTTTGGGCCATTTGAGGTAGTTAGGGTTGGTTTGGGGGTGAGGGGGAGGGTTGGGGGTTAACTAGGAAAAGCCAAAAAAAAAAAAAATAGAACCGAGGCCTGGCCCGGACCCGGGGGTTTCCCGGACCGGTTCCGGGCCTCCCCTTCTTGAACCGAGGCCCGGCCGGGTCCAGACCCGAACCGGTCCATGCCTACATTCACGTAAAAGGTGGATAGTTTGTGGTTATCAACACGTTTCCTCCGAAATATCCCGATTTGAGGGATTTAGAATGAGAGGAAGTGGAGGATTGTGGAAACCTTCCAATTTCCTCCCCTCCCCCCTATTTCCTCACCCCCCCCCCCCCCCCCCCCCCCGAAACCCTCCTACCAATCAGGGGCCCTGATTCAGGGCCTTATATTCTTAATCATCTTCATCCTCATCATCTTCTTCAATTATCTCTACATATGTTTATACAATTATTATATCTACTTATATATATCTACTTATAAATATATTGCACAAATTTAATTATCTAATTAATATATACTTATTATAAACTTAATATATTATTGTTATTTACTTACATTTACATATTACATCTACTTAATATATACTCCATACTTATATACTCCCTCCGTTCTTTATTATCTGTCCCGCTAGCATTGGGCACATGTTTTAGTAGAAAAATAGTAGGGTAAATGTAGAGTGTGTAGGGTAAATATAATAAAGTAGGAAAGAGAGTATATTAAAAAGAGTAAAGTGATGATAAAGTAGAAAAGAAAGTATATTAAGTAGAGTAAAATTATGATAAAGTAGAAAAGAGAAAGTAGTCTGTAAAAAGTAAAAGAGATAAAAGTAATAAAAGTAAGGGTATTTTATCAAAAACGTTCCTAAAATAGAGAGAGACAAATAATTAAAAACGTTCCAAAAAGGAATGCAAAACAGTTAATAAAGAACAGAGGGAGTATATTAAAGGATTAAATATAAGTGTATTACTCAAGTAATATAAGAAAATGTATTTCATGTTTTTCTCGATTCTCAATTATACTACATGTTTCAAATAAATATACTTTAACTTTTTTAGAAATTATTTTTTTAAAACAAAAAATAACCGGCCCAACCAAACCTGGCCAATACCCGACCCGGACAGGGTTGGACTCGGGCCGGTTGGCCCGACCCGGAACCGGCCCGAGACCGGTACTGTTCCGGCCCGGCCCGAACCGGTGGCCCGGTCAGTGACCGGTCCGGGTAGGCCCGACCCGGTGGGTTTCCGGTCCAGGCTCGGGTCACCCATAACAAGGCCCGGCCCGGTTCGGGTCAAATTTAATTTTTTTTTTGGTTTTTTTCATTTGTTTGGGCTCCACCGGGTTGGGCTTGATGTTTAGGAGGGGTTTGGGGGGTTTGGGGGGTGGGGGGGGAGGTGAGGGGGGTCAGGGATGGGTAGCTAAGCAAAAAAATAAAATAATAACCAAACCCGAGGCCTGGCCTGGCCCGGCCCGGACCCGGACCCGGACCGGACCCGGTTGCTACCCGGGCCAGTCCTGGGTCCAGCTATAGGAAGTTAAGAACACTCAAAATCCAGTCAAAATTCTTTGCATGAATAAAAACTACAACATCGTAAATAATAGATCATATAAATTCATGAAACGAGCGGAAGATAATCTAGCATTCTTTATGAAGAAACAGTGGTAGATTTTTAGTCCCACCCAGATGGTGCAATATCCGCGACCACACTTTGTACAGGCGCCGGCGGTGGGGCAGCAGCATCCCATCCTCCATCGATTTGAGCAGGAGCTGGCAATAGTGAAAAGGGAATAAAAATTGGAATGTCAAACAAAATAGGCACATGGATGACATGCTTTAAAAAGCACGCAAACAAATTTGTAATGTCTACAAAGGATAGGTCAAAAGGGTGAAAGGAAAAAACTACAAAAACACTGCTATTCTGGTATTTGATTATAACTTGGACAAGCGAAATTAGATTTAAGTAAAATACTTGATAAAGATAACATCATAACATATACATTCTCTTATAATGTCAAAAAACAATAGCAATTTTGTGTTTTTATAATAGATTTATTCCTAAGCAAGTTTGAAAAGAATTAATTGATATATTGAGTATGTAGTATGAATTACCAGCATCCGCAGCCCAACCATCACCAGCAGGAGCAGCAACTGTGTCTGGATTCCATTGGCCCTCTGTGATCTGGCTAGAACTCCAGTCAACACCAATTGCAGTATTACTGTATTCTGGATAATCTTGGATAGCAGCAACTTCTTCCTCCTCTTGTTCCTTAGACTCCTCTGGCTCCCTGTAGAAGAAGAGATCCACCTGACAAAGCACCACATTATACAATGCCAAAACACATACACCACGTAATGTTTGATATTACTAGAGGAAACCATAGCGTAACTTGGACACATAGAAACGTGGCATTTAAAATTGGAGAGGCAATGGTGGAATGCGAGTTATAGATACTATATTGGGCAAAACCAGACACTTATTTGATCTTAGGAATGGACAAATATAACAGAGGTTGCATTCCTAACTGCATGAGGGTGGCCAACATAGTATAGACAATTCATATTTACCTTATTATAGTAAAAAAAAATAGCATTCCTATGAAACAGATGAAGCAGATATTGAGTCAGCTAGGAATGTGTAAAAATATGAAGTCAAAAGAGCAGAAATAAAGATAAAGAGTAAAACAATAAAAACAATGCCAATCCACAGAAACTCTCAAACGGAGATGCAATAAACCACAAACAATACAGTAATAAGAGTAAGTACCATGATATCCCACTTGTGGCCTGGAGCAATAGCACCACGCATCTGCTGCACCATCCTTGCCAAGAGCCAGAACAGAACACCAATGCTGTGTTTTCCCTTATTGTTCGCAGGGATTCCAATATCAACATAGCGCATGGGTGAATCAGTGTCACAAAAAGCAATAGTGGGAATGTTCCCAAGGGCTGCTTCCTTGATGGGCTGCAAAAGTTTCAAATAAAAGATAAAATCTAATTCTAAAATATGAATTAGCTACTACTACATTATTTAACACTCCATCCACCAATGACTCTAAAACGCGGGCTTGAGAGGGGTAACCTGGTGATCAGTTCTCGGATCAGTGAGGATGAGAAGGCGGGGTTCACTGAATGAGGTTTGCATCTGGTTGGTGAAAGTTCCAGGAGTGTGACGTCCAGCAATAGCTTGGGCTCCAGTGTACTGAGCAAACTTGAAGACAGCCCTCTGACCATATGTTCTAGCAGATTGTACAATAATGTCCTTAGGGTTCTCAATAGCAACAATGACACGTGCTGCAAGCTGAAGCTTTTCCCATGTCTTCATAATGTTAATGATGAAAATTCCTGTTAACACGCAAGAAAAAGATTGATTGAGTATCATTAGATTGTTTACATCATAGCACTTATATCATTAGAAAACTACATTGTCCAAATGTTAATATCTCTGTCTAATTACTATTCCAGACTTCAAACATATTTCTCAAATTATCACATACTTGATTGAGTATCAAACTTCATTGATTGAGATCAATGCGCATTAATGAATTTTTAATGAGAATCAGACCTATACAAATAAATGAACATATGTAACTTACAAGATGAGCATTGATATGAAAATTTTAAGTTTTGTTCATTGAGCATCAAGACATTTTCAGTGAGCATCAAACTTTCGTTATCGAGTATTAGAATCGTGCACTTGAGTATCATGATTTGTGGTCTCGTGTCTATAATCAACTTCTATGTGAATCTAATGCAATATGAAACTTTTGAAATATGCATTGATATAACTTTTTAAAATGAGCATAGCAGAGGTACTAAATGGACATACATAACTTACAAAATGAGAACTTTCCACTATACTGTAACCACTAACTTTTCTTTTACTAAATGAAGAGAATAATGATGGAAAAAGTACAAATCTTTAGTAATTTATATTGTCCGTGGCAATTTTCCTACTAAAATCCGAATTTTATTATGCAAATCACGACGTGATTTCATACTTTATTTACTTACTAGACGAAGTACCCGTGCGATGCACGGGGTATATCTAGATTAGAATAACTAACAGCTTATTTAAAATGTGTTTTATTACAAAGGTACATAATTGTATTTTTGTCAGAAAAAAAGAATATCGAGTTTATATGTTGTAGCTTTGATTATATATATTATATTATAGTAGCCGTGAGAAAATAATATTTTGGATCAGTTTAAAGAATGGTAAGTGATAGAGTATATCTAGAGAGAAGTGAGAGCTAGAGAGAGAAGTGCAATAATATGCTTCAATAGAATGAATTTGTAACCCCTATAACTACTCCCAAGGGGAGTATTTATAGAGAAAATTAGGGTTGGGCTCCCAAGCCTTGGGCTTGGGAGGCCCATTTACAACTGGACCGCTACTGGGCCGAATACAAAGCCACTAATGGGCTGTACAAATGAGTAAGTGTAAAATCCGATTGTGGGAGGTCTTCTTGGCTGACGAGGGCACGGCCGACGAGGGCACGGCCGACGAGGGCACCTGGGTTCCTTGGGCTCGGGACCATAATCTGAGTTGGCCCTTTTCGGCCGACGGGGGCGTCTTGGCCGACGAGGGCGCCACTCTGTTGTCTTGTGCTTTCTGTTCTTCCGAGTATGTGGGTCCGGGGGCTCAGACCCATATACTCCATCAGGAGTCCCCCACTCTCTAAACTGAGACGTAGACGAAGTGAAGGAGAGTAGATTCCTATGCTTTGGTGCCCTTGGCCGTTATCTGTTCCTTGTTGTGGACAGGGGGGCCGTTGTTTACTTGATGTCATTGTTTTTGGACGATGAGTGTCCTTCTTTCAATGGTGGCCGTTGAAAGGCACGTTTTGCTTGGGCGTTGATGGTTGAAGTTTATGTTCCGGCCGATGAGGCCACTGAAGTTATTCCTTGCTTTGAGGACGATGGTGTCCTTTCCTTTGGGTGGCCGATGAGGGTGTTTGCGCACTCCTTTTGGCCGTTGCCGGTTGGCCTTCGTGTTCATGGCCGAAGGGCACGTCATGATTAATTGTTGGCGGAGGACGATGAGTGTCCTTGCCTCTAGTGGCTTGTTGGCCGTCGATAATGACGTTATGGGCCTTTGGCCGATGAAGCTCCGTTGTGCTGTATGGATGATGTGGCCATGCTTTGTGGTCACATTCATGTTCTTTGTAGTGTTTCCTTTTTGTTTTGCTGAGGCCGGTGTAGTCCCCCAGTCCCCCACTGCTTCAGGCCGAGGAGTGTGAGGGGTGAAGGAGTTGCTTGAGTCCCTGGCCGAAGCGGCCTCTCCGTAGTCCCCCTGAATCCAACTCTCATGGCGATTTTCTGGCCAAGGTAACCCTGTGGGAGAACCCTTGTGCGCAGATCGCTTGTAGAGAGTTATCATCAAAGATCATGACGAGGAGCCGATGGCTTGTGGGCTCTTGGGTCCTTTGATCTTGTGGCCGTTACGTTCCTGGCCGTTGCCGTCTCCTTATTGTTTGGCAGTTGTGATCTTGGCGAGCAAGTGGGACGTTGTAGGCGCTTGCTGACATTTGTAAAGCCAGTGAGCGTGTGTAGGCCGTAGAGTCCGTCCTGCCAGTGGGCTGTTGATATTGAGTTTGGCCCGTTGGTGACGTGGTGGCCCCCCATTGGTGGCCGTTGGTGTGGCCATTGGGGGGGTGCCACGTGTAGTGACCGTTGGGTGGGGGGTTCTATAAATACCCCTCCCCCTCCGACGAGAAAACGTATTTGCATTCTGAATTTGTCGAAGTGCTGGCCGATTTTCTAAAGAGATAAACTCCCAAGCCTTTTCTTCGTGTTCTTCGTTGTTCAAGGTTAGTGTTCATCGCGATCTTCCTCACTTTTCATACTTTGCTTCCTAGGTTGTTGATCTAGTGTTAGGCGTTTGAACACCCTTAGATCTTAAGTTAGTCTCCTTAGGCCCGTAGTAGTAGTTATGAAGAGCTTGAACGAAGACTACTACCCCTACGAGGACCAGCCCTCCACGAGGTCGCTTGACTACGAGGTGCTCGAGGAGTTCGAAGAGGAGATAGAGCATTTAAGTCCCTACAAATCCGGAGAGCCGGTGGACGAGGAAGGCGAGGACGAGGAGTCCGCCTCCTCTTCAAAGGGTGAGGACGTAGGTGCGTCCCGAGTGGTGGACGGGGCGTCCACTTCTGCTGTCATTCCGTGCCCGAGGCCGGTGTCCGCCGTGAAGGGAGCAGCTAAGCCGAAGAGGGTGAGGAGGCCGAAGAATGGACCGGGCCTCTCCTATCTGGACCTCACCAACATATTCCTGATCAAGCCGGAGAGCAGTGCGGCCGACTATCTTGTTGCCCAGATGTATGTGGGGCCGTTCGGGCGGGTTAGGGCACCCAGGCCGACAAACCATGTTCTACTTCCGCCACCGGGATACTTTGGAGTATACCCGATGAGTTTTGCTAAGGGGTTGAGGTTCCCCCTTCACCCTTTCATTATTGAGTATCTGGACATGGTGGGGCTTCCTCCGGCCTTGCTGACGCCGAACAGTTATTCCTTGATGGTGGGCTTTTTACTCCGGTGTGAGGAGCTGGGCTACAGGCCGACAACGGCCCTATTCATGAATTTGTACCAGATCGGCCGAGGAAGCCACAAGAACTGTACGGCCTATGCTACTCTTCAACAGCTGCCGAAGAAGAGGAGCTTCACGGATTTGCCTACTTCCATTCATGGGTGGAAGAGCAAGTTCGTGTTTGTGTCCATTGGTGAGAGTGGCACTGAGTTCCCCTCTCTCGGCCATACCGGGAGGTTCAATCTCCATGACCCGCCGAAGAGCTCTATCTTGGACGCTCAGGTGGAGGCTTTCCTGGAAGGGGGGCCGAGGAGCGTGAAGGATTACGTTACTGAATACAAGATGACCGCCCTCGGCTTCTTCAGATACCACCTGTATGGAGATAAGGAGGATGACCTCCAACTCTGGCCGAGGATGACCACCACATTTGAAGAGGCCGACGACCCGGATTTGGGCATCCCTGCTGAGGCCGATGGTAATTATTTCTTCGGCTTTCTGTCTTTATGTTTTGTTCCTTTGCCTTACTAATCCGTTGTGTTTTTCCTTTGTAGATTTTGCCATGGACCGACGTTCCATAATGGCTATTGCCAAGGCCAAAGCGGCCGAGGAGCTGGCTGCTAAGGCGGCCGAGGCGGCCAGACGTGCCGCGGCCGGTGGGAGCGGGGCTACTGCTGATGCGGCCCCAAAGCCTGCTCCATCGAAGAAGAAAAGACCGGCCACTGACGGCCAGAAAAAGTTAACTGAGGCCGGCCTGAGCGTCTCTAAGAAGACGAAGAGGGCTCCTTCCCCTTCTCCGGCTACTGAGGCCGGTACTCTGGCTGTCCCCAGCGTGGACGATAGTGGTCCTGTCGTGGACCTTACCGCTGCTGGCGATGCTGCTCCATCACTACCTCTCGTCCAGGAGCCACGGACGAAGAGGGCCGGCAAAGAGATTGCCGGTGCCACCTACCAGAAGATGGTAGAATACCCCGTCGGCGGGGGTGTCTTCGATGACGTCGTTCTTGGCCACGACGTCCTGGAACAGGCCATGCCGGCCAAGGATCGGGCTTACTTGAGGAAGCTCGGGGACGTGAATATTTATGAGGGCGGCATGGACCTCCTCGTCCAAGTAAGTTACCTTCCTTATGCGTTGTCTTTCTCGTCGTCTGTGTAAAACCATTTGCCTGACTTTTGTTTCCCTTGTTTCTGCAGAGTGCCTTCATGCTAATGGAGAGCCACAAGAGGCAATACCGAGAGATAGCTCGCTTGAAGGAGCTGGAGCAGAAAGCCGCCTCGGCCGACGAGGCGGTTGCTTGCCTGGACCGGCTCCGGGAGGATGCCAGGGCGTTGCAGGCCAGGGCCGATGAAGCTGCCGCAGCCAGGGACGATGCCCTGGCCAAGCTCGAGGAGAGCAAAAGGGAGCTCGAGGAGTCCCAAAGGGCCCTGGAGGCCGAGCGGCGCAAGAGCGAGGAGGCCGTCAAGGCGAAGGCGGAGGCCGAGGCCGCCGTTGTGAGGGCTGCCGACGAGGCCGTCGAGAAATTCCTGGCCGAGGGGTGGAAGGCCGATGAGAGGCTCCCCTGGTGCTACGAGGTGGTGGCCGCCAGGCTTGAGAGTTGGGGGATGAACTCCCCCGCCGGCCAGGAGTATTTCAGCCGAGAGATGTCCGTGTATTATAACCTTGGCCAGGAGCGGATGCAAAGGCTCCTGTGTCGGCGACTCTCTCGTGCTTTGAAAGCCATGAACTATACGTCTGGGTGGGCTAGACGGAACCTGAAGCTGCCGAAGCTGATGAAGGATCCAGAAGAGCA